CTTACTTGATTAAAAATTAATTTAATAATATAATATTAATAAAATTATTATTTTTTAAATATAAAATTACATTTTAATTATATAAATATAATATTTTTTATGATATTAAATAATAATTTTATTTATATATCACATATATAAATATAAAATTAAATAGATAATAAAGTATATATTCTTATATATATTATGGGATAGGTAGAGTGGAGCATCCTAAACTTGCTTCTGATCCAACTTCAATTTCCAAAAAAGAAAAATCATTTTGCCCCTACCAAATTTTGATTAAAATATTATCCTATTAAATCGATGAGTCAAAATCCATTGGACACCTTGTTTTGTAATCCCTGTCTTCACTAATCCCATTCCTTACAAAAATTATCTTAATAAAAAAAAGGTAAAAAATAACAAAAAAATAATAATGAAAAAAAGATAAAAAGATTCCAAAAAAGGTGCCACATGAATAGCTCATTTATCTTTCCATAGATTAAAAAAACAAAAATAGATAATTCAAAAAAAAAAGAAATCTAAAAACTAAAAATTAAAACAGAAAAAAAAGGGCATAAGAAAAAGTCAAATGAGAGTTTTACATAAACACCTTTATAATAATGGCAACAGGTTAGGTTGAAGCAGATTAAGCTCTTTCAACTCCAACTTGACTTTTTAATAATTCGATTCAATTTCGATTGTAATATGATCTCGAGTTATTATTCTTTGATATTCATTCTCAACCTAACATATATATGTATAACCTACATCTTGCTTGAATTGATTTAAAATTAATTCAATAATTTTAATTTAATATAATGTTCATAAAAATATTATTTTTATTTAAATTATATCTTCATTATATATAAATATAGTATTTTTATTAAATTAAAGTATTAAATAATAATTTTATTAATAAAATATATAATTAAATAAATAATAAAATATATTTTTATATATGTTTGAGGTAGGGTAGAGCATTCTAAACCACCTCTAACCCAACTCTAATTTTCAAAAATAAAAATCCGAGCTTAAATTTCAAGACAAACCTCACTTATTAGATTGATACAAATCAAAATTCATTAAATATAAGTTATTTTGTCATTTTTACATCCATTGATTTTTTTCGTATAAAATTTATTTAATTTAGAAAAAAGAGTATTAAAAAAAGAAAAATAAAGGAAATCAAACAAGTCCCATGTGAATTTATTATAGTAATTTATTAAATAATATATTTATTAATATAATACATATATAAATATAAAATTAAATAAATAATACAATAATATTATTATATATCTAGAGTGAGGGAAAACACTTTTAACTTATTTTCAATTCGACTTCAATTTTCAAAAAAAAAAAAAATCTCATTTTATTCCTGAATTAAAAAAAAAAAAAACACAACTATAAGATCAAAGTGAATTAAAACACATATAGTCAGCTTTACCTCCATTAATTTTTTTTATAAAATTTATCTAATAAAAAATCAAAATTAAAAAATTTAAAACTACAAAATCAAGAAAAAAGAATGAAGGTCACATGGACACTCCATTGCCCTGTATAAATGTCGGAGAGTTCGGTGGAAATCCATTCCTACCTCTTTTTGTAGTCCAAATTTATCTTGAATGCGTTCAAGTGTTTCCTATAAAAAAAATGTTCTTTCTTTTTTCCTTTATGTCTAGATTAGAAAGATCAAGAATCTATCTTTTTAGTAAATTGAACACTAAGAAAATATATATTCTAATTTTTTGAAATCACAATCTGACTATTTTATAAATTCATATTACTTGAAACAAACCACTGAAGCAACAATAATCCACATTCATACGATTTTAATTTATACTAGAAATTGACATGTGCGATGTCATCGGTTCATTTTTTTTATTAATTAAAATAACTATTTTTAAATTAGTTATAATAATTTATAATATATTTTAATTTTTTATTATTAAAAAATACAACTCATGGAAGATGTCATATAAACACTCTCATTAAATTTAAAATATTAATTTCTTAGGTTAAAATATAATAACTTTATTAATATAATAATATAAATATAAAATTAAATTAATAATAAAATATATATTTTTATATATACCTTAAAATGAGTTGAGAAAAATACTTTAAATACACTTCAACCCCAATATCATATCTTACAAAAAAACTGATTCAACCTAACTAAATCCTAATTTAAAAAATTGCTCTCTATAGAAATAAAATGGATCAAAATTCGTTGAATTCAAATTATTTTTGTATATCTATCAATTGATATATTTATTATAAAATTTATTTAATTAAAAAATATAAAAAATTAAAAAAAAAACCAAATAAGAGTACCACATGGACATCTCCATTAGTTTCAATTTTTTAACAAATTTAATTTAATAAAAAAAGCATAAAAAATGAACAAAAAGGGAAAAATAGAAAAAAATAATAAAAAGGGAAAGAAGGAAAAAAATGAGTTCATTGAGATATTATGTGAACATCGACGATTGAAATTAAAATATTAATTTTTTAAATAAACTATTAAATAATTATTTTATTAATAAAAAATCACAAAATGAAAAACAATAAATAGGAAAAAAGAAAATAAACAAAAAATGCAAAAAAAAAAAGAACTAGGAAAAAAGAAATCATTGAGGTATCATGTCGACATTCAAATTGAGTTGAAAATATTACTATCTTAAATTAAGATATAAAATAATAATTTTATTAATATAATACATATATAAATATAAAAAATAAATAAATAATAAAATATATACTGTAATATATCATTGGCTTGGGATAAAGCACCAAAAGTTCACTTTTTACCCATCCTTATCTTTTATAAAAAAATTGATCTAACTTGATTTAACATTAATTTTTTACAAAAACATTCTTATTGAATTATGAGATAGAAATTTATTAAATATTGATTATTTTTATCATTTTTATTGATAGACTTATTTTATTATAAAATTAATCTAATTAAAAAATTAAAAATTAAATATAAAATGAAATAAACAAATTAAGGTAGTACAAATACTTCCATTGATAATTTTTTTTTACAAAATTTATCTAATAAAAAAATAAATGAAAAAAGTAAAAGGTTAAAATTAGAAAAAAAAAAAAAGAAAGAAAAAAATTTCAATTTTTATCATATTGAGTTGAATCAAAATCATTGAATATGAATTGTTTTGTCATCCTTACTTATTGACTCATTTTTCTTATAAAAATTATGTAAATAAAAAAAAACAACCAAATTGGAACACTGCGTGAACATCTACATTGGTTTTTTTAAAAAAAATTATCTAAATTAAAAGCAAAAAATAAAAAACTTAACAAAAAAGAAAAAAAGTAAAAAAAAATGATATGTCAACACCTTAAATGAATGGATGAATGGATGGATTAAATTTTAATTACATATAGATATAGTATTTTTATTAAATTAAGATATTAAATAATAACTTTATTAAATAATAATGTATAAATATAAAATGAAATAAAATAATTAAAAATGTAATTATAAACGAAAAAACTTAAATCCTCCTCTAACTCTACCTATCTTAAAACAAAAAAATCTCAATATGATTTTTTTGTTTTTTAAATTCGCACATATTAGATCTGATTGAATAAAAATTCATGAGATATGAATTGTTTTATTATCATTACATTAATTTTTTTTATAAAATTTATCTAATTTAAAAAAAGTTTAAAACTTTTTCAAAAAAAAAAAAAGACAAAAACAAAAAGTAAAGAGGAGAAAGAAAATAAAATGTGGATTTATTAAATTAAATTATTAAAAACAATTTATTAATATGATACATATACATAAATATAAAATTTAATATAAAAAAGTAAATAAAAAATTAAAAAAAAATCAAATGACTTAATACATGACGTTTACTTAATATCAAGTAAGCCTAAAAATTCAATTCTGAAAATTACTTACTAAATATGAAAAAATTAAACACATACTATACCCTAAATAGCAATGAGTCCCACGTAAAAAAAATTAAAGTCCAAAAAAATATTTATTAAGTATTAAAAAAAGTAAAAAAGGTTAAAATAAGGAAAAGATAAAAGTAAATACATTAATATTAAGTGAATCTCTTACATTGATAATATATTATTTACCATAAATATATACAAATCATTTAAAAACTTTTTTTTAAATTTTAAATAAAAAATTGTTAAATTTAATAATGAAATCAATAAATATAAGGTAAATTTAATATGCAATAATTCATTATTAAACTATCACTTTTTAAGAATAGATAATACTCGATTACTAACTTTATATTTTGAAATAATTTAAAATGAAAAACTTAAGAAATTTGTGAAATTTTAATCATAGATAAAAATCAATAAATATAGTTATTTTTTTTTTTAAAATCTAATTTTTATTAAATTACATATAAATATTTAAAATTTATTAATTATATATTTAAAATAATATTTATTAAATTATATAAATATAATTAAATAAATATATATTTAAATAAATAATAAAATATATATTTTTATATATACCAATGCATGATACTCAAAATCTTATTCTTACTCAAATTCGATTTAGAAAAAAAACCTCAACCTAAATTATCTAGTATTAAAAAAAGTACACCTATTGAGTTAAGACAAATCAAAATACATATTTTGTTATCACTATCTTAGACTAACTTTTTTATTACAAAGTTTTTCTAATTAAAAATAAAAGTACAAGAAAAAAAGGAAAAAGAAAACCCAAAAAGCAAAAGCTGCTTAAAAAAAAGAAAAGTTAAGTGCCACCTGACCACTTAAAACGGGATAAAACACCATCAGTCTCTAACCTAACTCTATTTAAAAAAAAAAAAACTTGACCTCTTGATTTAAAAAAAAAAATTTATGTCCGAATCAAAACCAATGAGTATGAATTATTTATCTTTACTTTTATTTACATTTTTATAAAATCTATATAATAAAAAAATAAAATTAAAAAAACTATTAAAAATTAAAAATTAAAAACAAAAAAAGCAAAGAATGGAGAAAGAGTCGGATGACACGTGAGCACCTCTCGTTCCCCATTCTCTACAAATTTAAGGGTATATATATATCATTAAGCAAAAAAAGGGTCAAATATAATAAACAGGTCCACAGGTCATCAGCTAAATTACGCATGTTCCGACAGAAAATCTATACCCGGAAAATATGTTTCTACTCTGTGAGCATAATATTGACAAGTTGCAGCTCACAATGTAACCTGTGCTTTGTATGTTAAGGTAGATGTGGTGCCACAGATGTAATGCATCAGAAGCGGAGTTCAGCTTCAGTGTGTGAGTCCTATACAAGATCTAAATCCTACTAACACAAATGCACTTAAGTTGCCCAAAGAGGACAAAAAGGAGAAGAAAAATGGGAGGGAGGCCGGGTGGGGAGACGGCTTTGGCGGGTTGAACAGATAACTCCAGTCATTTCAATCCAAGGAAGTTGATGGGAAAAAAAGAATTTACTGCCTGGATGTCTGAATAGCGCTGACTGTACTTGAAATCTCCATCAGCTGTTGCTCAATTTTATCTTTCCATTTCACCAAGTCCTTCAACATTTCCTGTCAAAGAGGAGATTCGAAATTGGCCCTTCATTGGGATAAATGCAGAGCTGAGTGCGCTCGCATGACATGCACACATTCACAGATAGTTATCAATGTGCAAAACTATAAACATTTATGTGTATCTGTTATGGTACATATGCATCTGTAGATACACAATGTTTTAAGCATGTCTTAAATTAAAAAAAACAATGACTTCTTTGTTTGACATCACCTGAAACAGAAGCAATGAATTATCAAGATCTAACTTTGAATTGCCAGTAAGAGAAGAATCAGGTGTCACATTAGCTTGATCTTCCCCTTGCCTCCTAGGTGCTAGATCCCACACATCTCTGTTTATAAAACAAAAGAGAGCAGCTCCAATGTTAAGCGCAATAATCTTCTCCTCAAAATTGTCACACAAATTTTAGTTACCTCTTTACTTTAGCCTTTTCTTCATTAAGCATATCCAGCTCTTGAGCACAAATGGGGCGTTGAGAGGGGCTATGACCAGGTCTTGACCATGCTAGTGGGGCCAGATCTGTATCTTTAATTATACCATCCTGTCCAAAATTAATCAGCTCTGGACTCTCAAACCAGGGTTCCACATTACCCCCTTGAAAATTGTTCAGGTTGGTACTCTCCAACCAATCTTCCCATTTGTCAGAAGCTGAAGGACTAAAGATAGTGCATTGCTTTGATGCCTGCAGATAGCTTAATGAATTTGAAATTTCCAGCAGCTGCTGCTCAACTCTAGCTTTCCATGTCACTAGTTCTTTGCACATGTCCTGCCCGTAAAAAGGTAAAAACTAAGAGCTCTGTGCACTTAATTGACAATTTCGAATACAGGTGTACATAAAATAACTGTCTTGTGACAGACAATTTTTAAATAACTTCAGAATAATACTAACTCCCTACCTTATATTTAGTATCTGTCTGATTGTCAGAAATTCAACAATTGGAAACAGGATATTTGCTATCTTACCTGCATACCATTCAATGAACTTGAAAACTCCATCAGGCGTTCATCCGTCTTTGCTTTCAATTTCACCATTTCTTTCTGCATCTCCTGTAGAATAGAAAATAATTCAAGTGAAACATCAGCAACTTATATTAATGTTATAATTAATTTCATTTCAAACTATTTCTACATTCACCTCAATCAAATTAGCTTGATCTTGCACTGGCTGCTTGGATACCAGCTCTTGCATATCCCTACTTACAAAAATAGAGGGTACTTCAGTCGATAAAAACAAGACCATCTATGCCTTAATCTTTAAATAACAGTTACTCTAGTTTCCTCACCTCTTCATTTTGGCCATTTCTTCTTTAAGCAGCTTGAGTTCTATGGCACAAGCAGAATCCTGAAAGGGACCCCCATTTGGTTTCTGCCAAAATGGGGAGATCCTAGCCTCTTTTTGTATGTTGGCCAGATCAGCACTCTCAAGCCAATACTCCATCACTCCACTAGTGTTGTAACAGCGCCGAAACCGATCAGTACCACCTGGTGCCACCTTTCCATCAATGTGCTTCAGCAGGTGGTCCAAGAGCCCAGTATCACCAATATGTTTACGGGCTGCCATTCTCAAAGCAGGCCGAGAAATTGGGTTCTCAAACACAGCCCCTTCAGCTTTCATGATTTTTAAAATGCCTTCTTCAGCCAGCTCATATCTTCAATAAATGTACTATACATAAGAAAATTTCACATAAACATAAGAGGAAAAAGTTAACTAGTGGATAATTAAAGTTTTCACCTTTCAGCAGACCATCTCTCTACAGAATTGTTGTGCTTGTTTTGCTTGCACTTGTTAGGACCACTATTTAGCCTTTGTTTCCCACATCTTGCAGCTTTTTCTTTTCTAAGTTGGTTGGAGGAAAGGCACTTTCTCTTCCGCATTTCTGGGCATGAAATCAACTCCGCTTTAGCATGTTTTTTATCATCTTCATCATAGTCTTCCTCGATTCTGCCAAATGACTGTTTGGCAGAGCTATCTCCTTGAAGGACCAAGAATTTAACTTGCCGGCAGACACCCCACTCTGCCATCCCAGAATGCTTCAGCACAAACCAACAAAACCCTTTCTTAGATGTTTCAGCTACCCCCTCACAACTCCTGCATAGTTCAGAAGCACCTAGATATACAAATAACGATAAGAAATCAACACCTTTCATGAACTTGAAAAGCCACAGAGAACAGAGATCTACATAAAGTCCAAATACCAAATTCCCAATTGCCAAACAAACTGGGTGAAAATTTTACTGCTTTTCCCAGTTTTTATTTCCTTATCAACTACTCAAATCCTATCAAGAGGAGTTTGAACCATTTTTAGCTCAATCACTTTGCAAAAACAGGTCATATGTATTTCACCCAAAATCATGAGAATCCACTATACCATATTCCCATCCATGATCAATCGAAGTGACACAGTGTTCTCTTTCAACTCTCTCTACTCATCTAATTCTAAGAGAAAGCTTAATAATTACCAAGCTTTATAAAAATTAGAAGAAATGTATCTTTACTTCTCCATGCCAATAGCTCTCCTGACCCAGATATCCTCACTTATGAACCACTGCTGAAGTTGCTCATCCCCACATTTCAACCCAAAATTTGACATTCAACACATTGACGCTATCCAAATTAGTTATTTTGAAATGTTATTTCAGGTTTGCTGTTTTACTTTAGTTTATTGTAAGAATTTTTTTATTTTATAAAAATACTAGCATGTGATCTTTTAATGAGTTTGAATGACAAGGATTAGATGGGGTTCATTTGTATCTAAGGGATGAGACCAAAACTGCTGCAACCCTATTATAAACAGCCATATTATAAACTGCTGTATCTAAGGGATCTTTTAGACTGCTTTAGCAGCCATATTATACTTGATACTATTCATTAGAGGTTCTACCCTAAACATTAGTTTTCTTGTTCCAACCTTCTACTATTTCTACTCCATACTGTATCAAACTTGGATCAATGTACTCACTACATCTGAAATCATTTCAGCTCTTACTTATAAAAAGCATTAATTAAAATTGAAACAATGGCAGAAATAATTTTCAAGAAGGGGATATATGATCAAGAAAAATCTGTAGAAACACTAAAAATGATCTGATTTGAACCTGGCGACATAACATTTGAATGGATTAGATTATTGCCTCCACCAACCAAGGTGTAATCCTACAAATCGAAAGGAGCCAAAACCAATGTTGAAGACTACATGTCAGTGAAACCTACAATGGATCAATAAACCTTTCACAATTGCCAAAACAAAATGGCAGTAGTAACAGCGCCACTCCACCCCTGGAATTTGGATCATGATGATGAGAAATTGGATCACCTAGTATGCAATCTACATGGACTATAATGCCTATGACTTTGATAAAGAATTGAACTACAAAGGTAATGCAGACGAAACATGTGCTCCATTCACATCCGCCCCACCCAACTTCACCCCCCCCCCCCAAAAAAAAAAAAAATGATCATACCTATATCTCAAAAACCAGCATCAAATTCAGAATGTCACATACTTAACCTGGACATAACCAATAACATCATTCCCTAGATTGAAGCCACCTCTGCCTGAGCAAGTAGGTAAACTAACTATTACCCTACACATGTAAGCTACTGTGTGGTCTTATCAGTAGTTGAAAAATTGTTCAAATTACAGTGGTTGTCCTAGAACAAAAGGTGAGTTTGTGGAAGTACATTTCATTGGGAGCAAGCATTTGATTTGGAATGTCACATTTAAATAAACAGGACATCATAAAAACATGATGCCTTAATCTAGACATAGGAGCCAACAGAATGCACCAGCACCATTCAAAGATTCAGTATCATCAATTCCCTAACTCAGTTATCCACCATATTAGCATGTATTTCAATTTTTTACCAATAATTAAATCCAAAGATCTGGTAAGACAACAAAGCTTTGTTTCCAGCACATCTAGCCTGACCCCATTTCCATGGAAAGTTTATATGGTCGACACTATAAGTTATTTAACCAACCTATAGCATGACACAATCATTCAACAGGTTTTAACAGTCAGCCTCTTCACTTAAACTAATTATCTTCCAGTGTAACAACAAAAAAAAAAATCAAGGGCATACCTAAGTATTAGACGAAAGTGATGGAAGAGAACCGACACTCCCCAAAGAACTTTTGTGGTCACTATTATCACGTCCTAGGCTAGGCACCAGGAAAACCGATGCTACAAATCATATATGGTTAAAGCCCCTTAACAAAGATGGCGTCACCCATTATAACACCTCAACAATGGCTCATGGGGAATAGGATCAAATTATACCACAAGTTCACATTAGCATTAAACCGTAGAAAAAAAAAAAGGCTAAACGACATCAAACCTATGATTCATACTCTTATTTACTTCACTATTTTCCCTCTATTTTCCTAGCAATCAAGCAGAAGAGAGGATCAAACATTCACATTTGAGAAAATAAAGAAAAACACGGGCAGAGGAAGCATCAAAAACGAGAAATGACGGCATAGGCCGGCGACGGGGTTTACCTTGAGAAAGAACGAGAGGTAGCTCCAACATTCAATCCATTCGAAAACCCTAACTACGACATTTACGGAGAAGAATCGTTAAGACAGAAAAATTAAATGACATAACAAAAGAAGACTTCAAAAAAATACAGCGATGAAAGAGAAAAAACCCTTTGGATTTTCGGATCACAAACAGAGAATCTTCTGAAATACCAATAAATAAATAAATAAATAAATATATATATATATTTATATATAAAGAAAGCTTGGGCACGAATGTATCAATCCTACTAAAACCCTAACCGCCAAAATCCCCAAAACCCTTTTTTATTTATTTTAGTAATTATTTTTTATTATTTTAAAATATCAGGCTTGTTTTTTTCTTTTCAACTTTTTAATTACTCTTCCATTACATTTTTTTTTTCTCCTTCATTCTCGTACGGGCAGGGCTGGAGACATTTGGATTTATTCCTGGTTGGTTTAGTCCCACTTAATTATAATTGGAGTCCTTTCAGATTTATGCCGGTTTCAAGTCAGATTTTCAACTTTTTAATTACTCTCCCATTACATTTTGTTTTTCTGCTTCATTCTCGTACGGGCAGGGCTGGAGATATTTGGATTTATTCCTTGTTGGTTTAGTCCCAGTTAATTATAATTGGAGTCCATTTAGATTTATGCCATTTTCAATTCAGATTGATGTTAGGTTTGAGTTATTACAAGTTTGGATTATTTTTGAGTCTAAATTATTTCATATTTAGATTTTCTCAATGTTATTTTGAGTTTAAATATTTTCATTCAGATTTTTTTGAATTTGAATTTTTTTTTTCTATCAATTTGGATTGGATTCATTCTCCAATTATCTTAACGATCGTTCGAGTTGTCGCACTTTGCAACTTCTGATGCAGCGTTTTAAATGTGTTTATGAAATGAAACCTTAAGCATCATGTCAATTTATTGAATTTTGGATAAAAAATAATGACTCCTTTGAAGTATGATAAAATATATATATAATTTCTTTGGGTGTGAGTGATAAATTATTAAAAAAATTTTAAATCTTTGATTTTATTTTTAATATATTTAATAAATCATTTTTAGAAATCACTAAATAAAATATTTTCAATGAAAAAGTATAAAAAATTCTAACTAATTTTTAACTATTACGAATATCATAGATATCATTTGTATCTCTCTCGTAATATTTTAATTATATTTTAATTTAAAAATCTTCACTTGATTTATATATATGTTGAAAATTAAAATCAAATTTAAAGCTTTAAGCATACTTTCATATGACATACATGTTTCTTAGAAAAAAAAATTACCTCAAAGATATATTTATGACAAAACATACTTTGTTATGAATAACATAATCGCTGTGTTATGCAATGATTTTTTAGATCATGATCGAATGTTGGGTAGAATCTTAGTTGAATTAAGACTCTTTGAAAGCATTGGAATTTAAAAAGGATTTTTTGGACAAAATTTTGATGGAACTATAACTTTTCAAGATTTAGGATTGAAGTTTTCTCAAATTAAGACTTTTCTTGACATCGGATTCGTATATCTATTTTGGTTGTCAACTCCTTTAGATAATTTCAGATTCCTGGTCTAAGATTGAAACTTGAGGACGCTCCATCCTTAGTAAAGTGGCTTGATCAACAATGAAAAGAAATGGTCGTATTCAAAGACTAAACTCAATTGACAATAGACCATGTCATTTGACAATAGGGTGCAAACTTAATAAACAATGGCTCAATTGTCCATAATTCAAGGGTAATGAGAGGGAAATTTGAAATTCCTCCCAAATTAGCCAATTGGTAGACAACATAAGATGTCAATTGAACCTTTTTTAAACTCAGCCAACACATGCGTGTGTTATTAGAAGCTTTTCATCTTTTGATCAACACATGCTAATGTTAATTAAGGCTCATTCAATCTATTTATCCATATTTCAAATTGGCTTGTCTAGTTTAAGGGTATTACTATCATTTCCAAATCTTGACAAATTATAAGCTCAATAAAATGATTATTGTTTTAAAAGATTAAGTCACCACTTAATCTCGAGTGCAAATTTGGTTTCGAGCTGTATAAATTAAGACAATTTAAGTCCCAATAAGGATACCAAATTTGGTTCTTATAAAGCTACTTATAACATACCTGGTATGCAATGTTATAGATATAATAGAATAGAAGAAGATAAGATTATGAATAAAATTGAATTAAATAAAATTATCCTATTTTATGTTTGATGCATGAAATGATGGGTTGTTTTTCTAATCCATCATGTTTATATGTAAGATAAGGATTAGGATAAGTTAAATTTTTTTATTAGTCAAAACTATTCTTTTTAAAAAAAAAAATAATTTGCCTTCCACATATTGGCTTAATGGTGAAGATGTTTTAAAGAAGAAATGTGGGCATGGGTTCTAATCCCGTCATCCCTCTTTCCCTTTTGCATTTCTATGAACAAAAAAAAAGTAGATATAATTTATATTTATATATTTTAATATAAATATGATTAAAAAATTTTAATTAAAAAAATATAATTTATAATTATTCGTATGGTTAAGAGTTGATTTATCTTTTCAATTTTTTTAAAAAATAATTGATTTTGTTCAAAAATAAATTAAATTTTAAAAAATAAAAAATAACTTTTTTATATTTTATTTTTTTCCTTTTTACCACCATAAAGGGCCAATTGCTGATCGCGAGGGTTAAACCTAGCCATTGGTTTAACCTTTGATTGTCACTCCATGACGATTGAAGTGGCAAATGACGCAGGAGAGTCAAAAGCCCTCTTAATGTTATTTATGGAAAAATGCTACTTAATTACATTAATATGATGTTATTTTTTAATTTTTAATTTTTTCTTTTTTAATTTTTACCAATTGAAACTAATTATATTATTATATCTTTAAAAAAATAAATAAAATATCTATACAACTTTAATAATATAAATTTAGTATATAAATATATTCTAACTGAAGTATGTATTAAATGTATTAAATGTATTAAACTTATCTTTAATTCAATTATATGATGAATGTAGTAAATTATCTTTATTTAAAATAACACAATTATCATTCTTTTAAAAAATATTGTTTAGTGATTATGAAATTAATTAATGAAAAGAAATAAAAAAAGGAAAAACAAAATGAAGGTTTTTTTAGTTTTTAAAGAAACTTTTGAACAAATAATTAATTTAACTTAATGTTTTAATAATTAGACAAAAAATTGAACTAGTGAGAATCTTTCTTTAATTGACTGGTCTGATCAATGAGTGATTTGATATTGACAATATAGTTTTGAAATTAAATTAGATTTTTACCTTTGTTTCGTCAAGGGCTTCTTTTTGTAACATTATTTTCCTTTGTGTTGATTTTTTTTTTCATTAGTAGAGAATAATGAAGTAAAGGCATCAACATTACTTTGCTTTTTTTGTTGCCAGCTAGTTGTCACATTAACTTCATTTTTAAATGCTTTATTAAGATAAGGCATGAAAATAAATTTTAATTTGAATTATTTGTAGTTTTTTAAAAGTGTTAGCTTTTTAGGTGAGATAGTGATCAAGAGGTGGGTAAATCTCTCCAAATTCTTCCCAAACAATAATTTCAAAATAATTGAATGGAAATTAAAACTAATATCAAAATATGATGTGAATAACAATAAATTGATGAAATTAAAGCAAATATAAACTATAATCAAAGTAAAGAGATATGGATAGAAAAATCAAACACAATGATTTATAGAGGTTTGGTCCTTCTTCATAAGGCACCTATGTCATCTCTTTTTTGTTATCCACACCAAAGCTTTAATCCACTAATCTTGAATTAAAAGTACAAACTTATATTTTTCTCTCTAAAGATTAAGATAGAAACCTTATACTCTCTACTTTCTTGGCTAAGTAGCAACCTCTCAATCCCATAAATTTAAAAGGATGCCTCGCCTCTTGATTACAAAATCACTTAATAAAAGTGTAAACTTAAAACACCTCTTAAAGGCTAAGTGTTTGCCTAATGAAATACAAAGAAATTTGATGAATGAATAACAACAATAATTTGGATACAACAAATACAAAGATGTAGACTTTTAAGCTCTAATAACTCTTGAATTTCAACAACAATAATTTGGATACAACAAATACAAAGATGTAGACTTTTAAGCCCTAATAACTCTTGAATTTTTATGAGAATAAAAATATAACTTGTTGCCTCTTGCTCTTTTATTTTATCAATCCTCTTGGTGTGTTGGAGTGGCCAATATATAAAGAAATTGAAGAATTAGCCATTGGGAAAGCTTGGAAGAAAACACTCATTAGAAGCATGAAAAATAGTCATTGGAGTGATTTTGCCTAGACCCGATCATTCCCTTCCATGAAGGGATCGATTGGTTCATGTTTTGGAACCAATTCACGTCTTGAAAAAGGCTACCCTATCGATCCTTTCTTTGATGGGATTGATTGGTTCGAGGGGGTGATCAATCCCCTACATAAGGTGATCGATCTCTTATTCAACCAGGAGAACAATGTTATTTTCTAGGTAAAAAATCAAATGATCCTTTCCCTAATTGATCCTGTCCATTTAGGTGAATGTCTCATATTTTGTACTCTACTAACTAATTTGATCATATCTTGAGTTATACAAATTCAAATAAAAAATCATTTAAAGATTTAGAAACCAAACTTAAAGTGCTTTCTTTCTAAAATTTATCACCTAATTCATTTTGTACGAATTATAGTCAATTTTCAAATCTACCATTTGTGCAGTTTTTAGACAACTGTAAAAGTGTCTAGTAAAAATTCAAAATCATTTCTTAGAAAATTTGGATTTTGATTTTGTTTGATCCATTAGAAAGTAAACTCAAAGAGCTTTGCAACCAAATAAAATTCAAATATTAAAACTTTATGAATTAATACAAAAAAATAAAACAAGTTCAATATTGAAAAGCTTTGTTATACTAAAACAACTTTCTTAAGTTAATCTATTTCTTAAAACCAATATTATTAAAATTGTATTAAGTCTACAATGAATAAATCCACTTTAAAGATAATAATTGGACTTTCATTGAAGCTTAAATAAAAAAAATGTTTAAAGATAATTTTAATTTGAAAAATAAGAAAACATAAAGAAAGGTTTGTTTAAACTTAGAAAATCATATTATGTATTTAGTATCAAAATATAAAACTTAAGAATATGTACTAAGTAAATCTTTTTCAAAATCTTGATCGAGCTTATTTAGCTTAATGTTTTATCATTTCAAAATAAGGATCAATTCAAGGCTAACAATCTCCTCCTTTTTGATATGACAAAACTTAAAGATAAATTTGCTTGATAAAAAAAATATTTTTTAAGACATTTAAGATTTTGAAAAATATTTTGAAAAACTCCCTCTTAAACAATGTGTGGCTAAACTCCCCTTCAATTTATGCATCATAATCTAACACAACTCAACTAACATATGTTAAAGCATATATTAAGCACATATAAACATATGTATATTAAGCACAAGCAAATTTGTCCATCAAATATTTCTCTCCCTTTTTCTCACAGCAAAAAGGCATGAGTAAATAAACACAAAAATGTATTAGCAAATATATTCATAAAACATTTCTCCTCTTTTTTGTTTATGCTTTTTATACCAAATGTTTAAGCTCCTATATCAATTACTATAAACATACAAGAAGAAATATTTCTAAACTTTTTCCCCTTTTTTGTCATTTAAAAAAAAAGAGAAATCAATTCAAGGCACAAGCCAAAATGCTTGATACCAATAATATCAAGAGTATTTTAAATGCATGTAATCAAGTATAATATGCACAATGAAGTTCACATACATGTATTCAAGCATAAAAGCATAAATGTATCCAATTTTAGCATTTTAGCACAAGTAATCAAATTTACT